TTTCTGTTCTTTCCATTCCTCTTTGTCTCTATCCATCCAGCTGTACCATGCAAGAATTTTCCTGGCTTAGAAATCAGTGTCTGTAGCACCTACTCACACCACAGTAACCTGGGGTATGGGAAAGGAGAGGCAAACAGCTGCATTTTAGCATGGCTACCAAGTCTTGCAGCCAAATGGGAACAATCTCATACAAGTCACAGACCACAGGCCATAAACCCCAAATTCACAGGTCACAGCTCAACCCAGCCCAACTCAATTCTCCACGAACAATTCCCAGCAATTCTCCCAACAGGCGCCTTATGAGAAAAGACAATTAGCAGCTGCTCATTGCAAAGCCTGTTGGAAAATGAAGGTAGAAATAGCTTCTCTTGTTATTGTTTATCCAGTCTACATACACGTGAGGTTAGCCGCGTATAAATGTTTATATAAAACTGTGCCAGAGCCTGGAATCATCAGCAGATCTGGCTCAAAACCAATTACTTTCTGTGATGAGTAATGAAACACTCAAAAGACTATTCTCTCTAGGTAATTTGACTGAAATTAGGGTGTGTTGCATCCAGGTAAATGGTACTGTTTTGGTCATATCCTCATAGACTCAGTAGTCAGATCCCAGGTCAGACAAAGGTAACAGAAAATGATCAATAAGCTTTTCTCACTATCCTTTTTTTAAGGAAGACATTCGTGTTCCCTGTGGGGAACTACATTTTCCACAAGCCTGTGTGGTATGTTTATAGCCAAACAACATCCCAGTCTCACCCCACATACATATATAGTTATCCCTTCCACATCACAACTTTCTCCATTCTGGTTTCCATATGTCACAGGACAGCATAGGAAATTAAATGGGAATTTGAGGGGAGTTTTGCAGAAGCCGCAGACAATCACAAAGGCCAGCAGATAACACAGAAAAAATTTAGAAACTCAGAAATGCATAAAATATACATGTAGTATTGTATAACATCAACATAGTTTATCTTTTAATACCATAATAATTCAGACTTCTCTGGCACAAAGGGAGAGCCAAACAATTTTACACAAATTTTCCAGACAGCAAGGGCACCATGCCCTTAATCCCCACTATGTGGAAGGGATAACTGTGCTGGTCTCAGAATAGAGGTTTTCAAAAATGTGTGGAGGTTCTGAGTACAGTGCAGGGGACCTGGGAAGCTGGGTGATAAGGACAAGCTTAAGGCGGTTACATCTGGTCCATTTCTGCGCTGGGCAGCTAGGTGGCGCCATAGTGCACAGAGCGTGGACTCGGAAACACCTGCGTTCAAATCTGACCTGAGATACTTAGTGATATGACTGAGCATATCAGTTAACTTCTGTCTGCCTCTATTTCTTCAACTGTAAAATTGAGATAATAACAGCATATGCTTCCCAAGACTTGTTGGGAGAATCAAATGTGATAACATATGTAAAGGTGCCTAGCACACAGCAGGTGCTTAATAAATGCTTGCTCCCTTTCTTCCTAGCATAGGTGAGAGAAGCAAGAGGCATGGGGCAACAAGATGCCTTCTTTTGGGGCACGGGAGAGTACAAGGGAACTAGATTAAGAAATAAAGTGCAAAATTGCCTACTATTTTCAGAAGAAGGAAAGGAGGAAGGGAGAAAAATTTGGATTTCAAAATCTTGTAAAAATCAATGCTAAAAATTGTCTTGACATGTAATTGGGGGAAAAATGAGTACTATCTAAAAAAGAAGAAATAAAGTGCAAATTCTAAAATGCAGCACCTATTCCAGTTATTTGCCTGTGTCCCTCTCTGATTGCATACTGCTCCTGCTATGATATGTACCCTACTGCCCCAGGCATAGGTGGGGAAAAGACAGCCCTGAGACAATATTCCTTCTCACTTTAACTCTTTATTGTTTACTTTGCCTTTTATTTCAAGTAAATATCTTTTGCCTTGAGAGAAGGTTATGTGCGTCATTTGGTTCATGGAGAACTTCAGAGAGGTGAAAGTGGAGACTTGGAGCATTAATTCGAGTCATTGTTAATTCTTCTGGTTTAGATAGCCAGAAATTACAGCAGGGAATTGTTAACAGTTAAAACGGCTAAGCATAGGGACGAGGGAGGGAACAAGAATTTATTTAAGTGCCTACTATATATCAGGCACCGCACTAAGTGCTTTAAAAATATTACCTCATAGATTTTGAGGCGGAAGGGGGATTTAGAGGTCATCTAGTCTAACTCTCTGATTTTACAGATGAGGAAACTGAGGCCCAGAAAGGTTAAATGAGTTCCCCAAGCTCTGACTCCAAATCTAACACTCTTTAAATACAGTCATGGAATAGCAAAAAGATGTAGGATGGACTTGTAGTCAGTTTTGTATACTTATGTAATGCAGGCTACTTGATAAAGATACAGAGACAGAGAGGAGAAGGAGTGGGGAGAAGAGAGGGAGAGAGAGACAGAGAGACAGACAGAGACAGACAGAGAGGAGAAGAAGGAAGAGGAGGAGGACAACGAGGAGAAGGAGAAGGAGGACAAGGAAGAGGTGGAGGAGGAGGAGAAAAAGAAAGAGAGAGACAGAAACACACAAAAAGAGACACAGAGAGAGAGAAGAGAGATAATACATTTATTAATCAGTTACCATGTGCCAGAAACAGTGCTGAGGACTGAAACACAAGTAACCCAGACAGAAGGGAAGGTCAGAAATCCTGTTGGTCATGGAAAGAACAGTGACCTTGACACTGGTTTAATGTTGTTTATGTGCCTCTACTCCTCCCACTCATTTGAATAGAAGACAAAAAGAATGCATAAGTTGAGAAACTGAGGACCCTGAATCACCAGAGCTCCTGGCAGTTTTTTGAGTAGGGATTCTCTAAAATGGATGCTGACCAGAGGTAGTTCAGACATCAGCAGGTAAGCAGAGAGTCACATGGACTTCATGAATCTAAGTTGGACTGAGATGCACACCTTAGTCAACATTAAATACAGATTTTTTTAAAAAACAATTTATTTAGGGGGCAGCTAGGTGGCACAGTGAATAGAGCACCGGCCCTGGAGTCAGGAGAACCTGAGTTCAAATCCAGTCTCAGACCAGACTCTTGACACTTACTAGCTGTGTGACCCTGGGCAAGTCACTTAACCCCAATTGCCTCGCAAAAAAAAAAAATTTATATAAGCCTGAAAGTACTAGATACCTGGATTCTCCTCTGTATCCCAAAGATATAGGAAACTAGGGTCAGAAATCTCCCTCTAGAGAGTAAAGCCCATTTTAGCCAAGCCTCTGAGAAACAGACAAACTCCTGTTTTGGTGAGGGGAAAAAGCCAAGAAGGGTTTTCCCTACTGTGATGACTGGGTATGTCAAGACTTCTAAAAAACCTGTAGCAGAAAAGGTCTATGACCTTTAAACTAAAAGCAATGGCATAGCCATCCTTTCATGAGACAGAGAGATAACAGCCATCCTTCTATGGGGAACAGGCAGGACTCTCTTCCAGAGCTGAAACCAGAGACTGGAATCAGAGAGAAGCTACACAACTCTGTATCCAGCCCAGCTACCTCTCAGGACGATAAGAACAAACCACAGGACTAAACATAAAAGCTAGCATTTATTTGGTGCGTTAAGATTTGCAAAACACTTTATGGTGTTATTTCATTTGATCCTCACAATAACCCTGAGAGATAGGTAATTATTATTATTCTCATTTTAGTTAATGAAACTGAGGCAGACTGCAGTTAAGTGACTTGTCCAGGGTCACACAGCTAGTAAGGTTCTGAGGCTGGACTTGCAATCTGTTCTTCCTGTCTCCAGGTATAGAACTCTGTCTGCTACAACACTCAGCTGGCACAATGCTGATCCACAACCAGGGGAAACAAGCAGGGAACAACACACAACAGAAAGGACGTATCTGACACAAGTGATATCATGGAAATATATCTGCAGTCTTGTAGCATCAGAGGTGGGAGCTGACTCTTCATGCATGTGTTATGGCCACATGTGTTCTCCACCCACTCATATCCTTGGACTCACATGTTCCTCATTTCCACGTGTCCACTCTTCCCACTGATGGTGTGTGTGTTCACAGAACAGTATGTCCCAGTTTTATAGTTGCTTTTCTTACAGTGCTACGTCATCAAATACCTTTGCTTTGAACTAACTGTGCCCAATAAAGATAATCACAGTGATAGGGTTTTAGGAGCTGTGGTTAATTTGGAGTGGCTGTAGACGCTGCCCTCCAATACTCTGAACCTTAGGTAACCTTGTCTGAGTAACCAAAGAGAAAGTTAGAAGATACCTCCCCAGAAGCTCCCTAAATACACATAGATAGCAATATTTTAAAGAAACAAACACCTAGGTACCTTGCTCACATATTAAGTGTATTGCTCAGGAATCCTAATTATTATCAATCACTGGTTTTATAACCTGTTTGAAATAGAAGGCTTCTTTTGAAGGAGGTAGGCTCAATTCCCCAAATCGTGACATTGGGGCAATTTCTAAATGGGGTTGGAAAAGGAGGAATTTCCCTCCCTCTTCCTCTCCCTCTAAAAGTGGTATCATCAGGACCTGGCCAGCCACTTGGCCAAGCTGTAGAGGAAAGCGCCCTCCTTATGAGAGCAAAATACTTAATTGACCTGTGAGTTGCATGGTCTATTCTACTTCAGTGACCTTCTTTCCTTCCTTTCATTCTCTTTTTCTGCCTACCCTTCTTGTATTTCCCTTTCTGATGTCTTTTCCTCTTCCTTCTTCTGCCCTTACCCTCCGTCTCTTCTCTTATCCTTTTCTCCCCCTTCTCTCTCTCCTCTTTCCTCTCCTGTTTCCTTTCCTCTCTCCCCTTCTTTCCTTTTCTCCCCTCCTCTCTCCTGTCCTCTCCTTTCAAACACCTTTCCTCTTCCTTGCCTCTTTTTATCCACTTTCCCTTCTTCTCCCTTTCCCTCCTTTGTTCTACTCCTTCTTCTGCCCTCTTCTTCTCTGTCTCTGTTCCCTTCCCTCCCTCTCTCTTCCCCTTCTTTCCTTTTCTCCTCTCCTATTCTGTCTTTACTTTTCTTCCCTTTCTTCCTTTATCTCCCCTTTCCAGTCCTGTTTTCTTCTTTCCTTCATTTCCCTTTCTCCTCTGCTAGGGCTTTCTTCACCCAACCCAGCCTGAGGCCCCCACTCTCCTGAACAGGACACATTTTTGAAGTTCCTAAAATTAAAAAAAGAGAGCAAGCCAACAAATGGGTAAAGGGAGGTAGAGATAGAGAAATACTGTTTATTGGAAGATGAGCTGGAGTTTTCCATATCAGTGGAGAGAATATAGCAAAGTAGCTTTGAAAAGCCCCTCATTCCCCATAGCAGGCAGGAGGACCAAGAGCAGAGGACTTCGCAGTTCCTAAAAAGAATCCCCCGGAAATTAAATAACTGGCTTTCTAGCCTCCTCCCTTCCCTCACCTCTGTGCAAAGTGTGAATGAAGCAACCTTTCCCTCTTCTGGCTGCTATTACACCTCCCTTCCCCGCCTCACCCCTCGCCTTAGTAATTTCATTGTAAAGAGAAGCAATTCCATCGTCCCTGCTGTCTCTTCCCAGGTCGTATGAGATGATAATAACACTACTTAGGCTTTTTCTAGAACCTTCCCAACAACGAATTGCTATCCAGCATCCAGAGAGGTGTGATTCAGCACTCCTTTAACAGGAAAGAAAATGAGGTGTTAAGGTAGAAAAACAGGACACAGCATGCAGGGAGCATCCCAAAGCTGGTGTGTCAGTCTGTGTGCTTTTGGCCAGACTAGGAGATAAAGCAGACTATCCATCCACCTGACCAGCCAGGTGCTGGAATGAAGTCTTGGGAAATCACAGGGGAGACCCAGGGCAGGATCACTCCCCAAGGCGGGAGACATTTTCCCTGGCAGAACAGAGCAGGTCCCTTTCATGAGAGGCTGTCCCCTTCATTATTCCAGGCTAAGCCAAGCCAAGATGAGAAGAATCCATGGGCAAAGCAGTGGTCCTGTGTCCATACAATAGACAGTTGCTTCACAGGTGTTTTAGAAACAGGCGGACTTTCTGATCGCCAATGAGAACCCTGAGGAAAAGAACAAACCCACTGAGGAAAGGTCCTGGTCATCTGCAGAGAACTTTATTCTGATAGGATGGGGTTAGGGGAAGATGGGGGTGATGGGGGCGAAGAGAGCATTGAATTCCTTTTAATTGTCACAGAAATTCACCTGATTCCTGCTCCCTCACCTTTAATATTCAGAAGATTTTTGGAGTCATTGAATCTTAGAAGTGGGGGAAAAAACCAGAGAAATTATCTAGTCCAACCACATCATTTTATAGGAATTCCAAAGTGGAAAGGTGACTTGCCCAAAACTATTCAGCAGTAGAGCTGAGGTCAAGCTCAAACCCAGGACTGTCAAAACAAAAGAAGCCTGGTGTTACAGGCATTATTATACTAATTTTATTTTTAAAAAAATCTTGAAACTTGCCTCAGATATGTACCAACGGTGTGACCAGGCGGCAAGCCACTCAACCATTCTCAGCCTTGGTTGCCTCCTCTCTAAAATGGGCACGAGAGGCAGCCTGGCATAGTCAACAGAGAGCTAGCCTGAGAGTCAGGAAGATCTGTGTTCAAGCCCACCTCAGGCACAAATTGGCTTTGTGACCCTGGGCAGGTAACTAAACCTCTCAGTGCCCTCATGAGTAGAATATTCAGGCAGGTGCCAATCTGCATGGCCAGTTGTCTCTCAGCCTCTCTGAGCTTCAGTGCCCTTTTTATCAAAGTGAAAGGATCCCTCATGTCCTGCACATTCTATGATTCCTCATGTCTACTTGGAAGGATTTGATCTTCCCCTGAGCATGATGACCAAATCCAGATGTGCTCTCTCTCTCCCTCCTCCTTCTCTCTGTCTCTCTGTCTCTCTCTCTCTGTCTCTCTCTCTCTCTCTCTCTCTCTCTCTCTCTCTCTCTCTCTCTCTGTCTTTCTCCCCCCTGTCTCTGTCTTTCCCTCCCTCCCTCTCTCGCTGGCTCCCTCCCTCCCTCTCTCACCTTATCAGTATTCCTGCGATTACACTGGCTGCCAGTGGTCCCAGCCAGTACACCCAGTGGTACTGCCAGTAGCCGGCCATTATCGCAGGCCCAAAGGCTCGGGCAGGATTCATGCAGGCTCCAGATATAGCCCCTCTGTGAAGCAACAGAAACACACATATACACATATAAATATGCACTGGCTGGCCCCCATGCCTGGCGTGCTCTCCTTCATCACCTCCAACTCTTAGCTATCTTGGCTTCTTTTGAGACTCAGCTCAAATCCAACATTCTACCAGAGGCCTTTCCCAGTCCTCCCCTCTCAGCCCCTTCCCTCCAAAATAACTTTCCATTCATATTGTACAGGGTGTCCCAAAAGTCTCAGTGCAATTTTAAATTATTAAAGTTTAAAACAGCACTAAGGGGCAGCTAGGTGGCACAGTGGATAGAGTAATGACCCTGGAGTCATGAGGACCTGAGTTCAAATCTGGCCTTCTGACACATAACACTCACTAGCTGTGTGACTCTAGGCAAATCACTTAACCCCAATTGCCTCACAAAAAAAAACCCCAGCACTGAGACTTTTGGGGATACTCTGTACATATCTTGTAGATATGCGGTTATTTGCATGTTTTCTCAGCCATTTGAATAGGAGCTTCTTGAGATCAGGTACTATGTTCCTTTTCCATTTGTATTCTCAGGGCTTAGCAGAGGGCTTAGCATATAGTAGGTGGTTAATAAGTGCTGGCTGCCTTGGCACACTCAGTATTCACCCTAGAGTTTAAGGTAAATCACAGTTTTTTGCATATCATCACAATCTACAGGGTATTTCTCCGATGTATTTATTTTCCTGTCAAGTAACATCAAGGGTCCCCATTGGCTTAGGGAAGGAAAAAAATCGCAATTTGTTCCCAGCCTGCTAGAGAAGGCAGCACTGATAAGAGTATAAGTCTTAGTCAGAACCCTTAGGTTCTAATTCTGGCCCAAAAGCTTACTAAAATGCTTACTAAGTGTGAATTCGGGAAAGGCATTTAACCTTATTGAACTTCATTTTCCTCACCTGTAAAAATGGATATGAGATCTAGCATGGTATAACAGAGATTTGGTCCTAGAGTCAAGAAGACCTGGGTTCAAATCCTGCCTCTTATACAGACTGGCTGTGTGACCAAGTCATTTACTCTCTCAGAGCCCCAGGTAATGTTCTAAGATTATTAAGGTGAAGAGCAGATGCTAAACATCTTGGGCAGAAAGAATTTCCTTACTGGCAGTTCCCTGTACTAATGAAATCACGGGTCCGGGCCTTATCCCCATCCTTAACTTCTTAATAATGATAATTATATTTTAAAAGCTTTTTGAGGTTTGAGATGTTTTCCTCCCAACAATTCTACAAGTCAGACTGTGTAAATATTATCGCCTTCTTACTGATGGGTAAACTGAGGCTCAGGAAAGTTAGTTAAGCGTCTTGAGTATTGGCACAAAGCTAGTAAGTGTCTAAGCCTGAACTTCAGGGGAATTCATAAAATTCTGGGTTGAGAGTTGGAAGGGACCATCAAGGCCATACAGTCGAACACCTACATTTTACAGAATGAAATGAAGTAACTTGCCCAAGGTGAGGTAGATAGTAATCAAGATTTGAACCCAACTCCTCTGGCTCCAGAGACAGAGCTCTTTACCACTGTGTCATTCTGCTTTTCTCAAACCCAGGTCCTCTGACTCAAAGGCAGTGGTCTTTCCAAAAGACCATGCCCTCCCTCCTGCAGCTTCCAAAGAGAGAGTTCCTGAAGTTGGGCATCACCTAAATCCCCTCCTTCCTTTAGGCCTGGCCTAAGCTCCCATTCTTTTGACTGCTCCCAGTATCCCTCTGCTGCTACCAACCCAGCCAGCCATCCCACCTATTATGACTCAACTCACCCTGCTAGGATGTCCACAGTCACAGCAAAGCCAATGCAGAAGGGAGCCAGCGGGCTCTTGCTCTTTTCATTGACGGCTGCCATACAGACGGACAAGACCAGTAACAATGTCATGATGACCTCAGCTCCCACAGCACCACCCACCTGGTCAGCCCCTCTAATGGTTGTGAAGGCTGCCCCGGAAGCATTTAAGAAGCTCTCTTCTGTGCTCACCGCCTAGAAGGAAAAACATCTCCACTAGTGTAGAGACCAAAGCAGCAGGACCCGAGTAAACAAAGTGCATGGAGAGAGAGACAGACAGACAGACACAGACACAGACACAGAGAGAGGGAGAGACAGAGGCCTAGGCCAAGGGAAGAGGGACAGGAACGGAGAAAAACAAACAAGAGATTCCTCTCACATTTCAAAAATTGACCAGCAAAGGTTGTCCACTTATCCTTCCTCTGGAAGACTAGGTATAGGAGCAAATGAGCTGAGTTGTTTACCAAAGTCTTGAGAGCTTAGATTAAATTGGAACAAGTGGATGAACCCCAGATTACTTTATTCCAGCCATAAATTAATCAAATGCACAGCTGCCCTCTAACTCAGGTAGCATAGGCAGAAGGGGAATGGAAGCTAATCTGCTTCATCTTCTTTGCAAAGACTCACACAAATACACACACACACAACCCAGGAGAAAGGCCGTTAACCTATCAGGTGGACCTCTTGGTATGAACTCATAGGAGGACATGGCTAGGGATCGATTGCACAGAGTGGAAAGGCATGGATGGATTTTGATCTCAGCCATGGGAAGAAGTGTCCATATCAATAAGATCTTGGATCCATTGGAGTATGTCACACATTTTCAACTAGCCCTAACCTCCCCAGGGAGGAAGAAAATGAGTTTAAAAGAAAGAAGGAAAACAAAAGAACATGGTATAAGGGCAAAAGGGCTTTACATTGAGTTCCCAATTATTTTTTATAGTTCCCAGAGCTACAGCAGTGATCTAACCAATGGTTCCCAATCTGTACCCCATCCCTGTAGATCACTGGAGGACCTTGGACATATTGTAAAAATTTCTACAATCAATATGCTAATCTACAAATAAATAAATACCAACTTCTGTAGGCTGAATGTCTCCATTCATAAAAGTATTACCATTTTTCAAAAGTATGTTGTAATTAACAAAATGAAAATTCGTTTGAAAGCATTACTGGATTCATAGTAGCTTTTATCCATATAGTTTCTCAATTGATGGATTCTAATATAGCTACTATTGTGTAGAGATCTTTTAAAAAATTTTTATCTTAAAATAGGGTTATCACACACCTAAAAATTGATACCACTACATTTGTCTAAGGATGTGACAGTCTGGCAGAGCTCAAGGGCCATTCAAGATAAACTAAGATTTAGGCAGCTGATGCCTCAGTGAGCATGGGGAGAGAGTGAACAAGTCATGAGAACATTTAAGAATTCAGTGGGTGGTTTGTTTGCCTTATCCTACCTAAGTCACTATGTGCCCACCTACCTTGGCTAAAGCAGCTCCTATGATCCCTCCACACAGCTGGGAGACACAGTATGGGATGAGCATCATGTAATTCAGGCCTCCAATCAACATGACAGCCAAGGAGACAGCTGGATTGAAATGACCACCACTGTAACCAATGGAAATGAATGATGAATGAATGAGTGAATGAGTGAATGAATGAATGAATGAATGAATAAGCAATACCACAACTCTGCCCCCTCTGCAGCTTCTTCCTGCAAAACCCAGGCAGCATGAAGTAGTAAAAAGAGCTCTGTATTCCAAACCAAAGTTTAAATTCAGCTTCAGCTGTGTGACCCTAGGCAAATCTCTTAACCTCTGTCTTCCTCCATTTCTTTAACTGTAAAATAGGGCTAATAATAATAGCATCTGTACCCAGGGTTGTTGTGAGGATAACAATTGTAAAGTGCTTTGCAAACTTTAATGTGTTATATAAATTCTAGCTCTTATTAATATTAAGGCTTTTTTCAAAGCCTTAGCAGAAGTTAGACAAACCCAGCTCTCTTCCCTCACACCAAGAGATGCCAACCTCTCCAAGCTTATTTTCTCCCTCCAAATTTACAGCCCTTCATCCCCATTGGCGTTTACAGCCTCTTGTACCCAATAAAGCTCATTAACCTCCAGTTCCTGAACTCTGGACATCAGCCATCCTTATGTTAGTTCAGACTTAAAAATAAATGTAACTCTGGCACCTGCCGTAGAATTCCTGCTGCCCTCTCCTCTTGTCCCCCACTCACTAGTCTCAAAACAGATATAATGAGGCAAACTGAGAGTTTCTTACTAGCTAATAAGAAGTCAGATTGTAGCTGAAGGTGAGAATGTCACAAAACAAGCCCAAGGGTTCCCAAGATTCATGGGGAACACAAAGTGCTGAATATATTTCTGTAACCCAATTGGGCCTTAGGGCGTGGGGCCCCTTGTCCAGACACCTAGATTCCCATCCTCCTCCACCATACAACTGCTACATTCAGGCCACATCCTATTTCAATCAAACTCAGTAGACTGAGGAGCAACCTTCTAGATGCCCATTAAAAATCTGAGCTTTTATAGTTCTTCAGGGCTAAGTCTCCAAAGAGTATCAGAAGGACGTTTGATAGACCTGTCAGGGGGCCACTCATGGGGGCAGCTCAGTGACAAACGGCTGGATATGGAGTCATTAAGACCTGAGTTCAAATCCTACCCCAAATACTTGCTAGCTGTATGACCTTAGCACTTTTGCCTGTCTCAGTTTCCTCATTTGTAAAATGGGGATAATAACAGTACCTACCTACTTCCTAGGGTTGTTGTGAGGATCAAATGAGATAATATTTGTAAAGCACTTTGAAAACCTTAAAGCATTCGTGAATGCTAACTATTATTGTTGTTAATAACCCAGGGCTGATGTCCATTACAGACCAGGTAAGCCACACTTCTCCAGACCCAGTATGATCTGAGAATGTGAAAGATGGTGAAAGTCAGGGCAGTCTTAGGTCCATCTCAAGTCATCAGGACACCAGCATTACACCTCGAGAAAAGCTTCTGCTGTTTGAAGAGGATAAATAAAGTGCCAAGTCCTATGATTATTGAGAAACTAGGGATACAAAATGGGGCCTGCACAGTTTCAAGGCTGGTCTATGCTCTGGGCCCTTCAAGGACTATATGGTAGTAATGTTCAGATGGATGAGAAGGGCAGTGTAGAACTACTCAGGAGACAAATTTAGGAATATTTTCATAATACTTCCAAATGTAAAGCCCTTGATCAACCCCCAAAGAGCCCATCGGCCTCCATTTCTCCAGGCCCATTGAAGCTCAGGTTACCTGTCATTGGTAAGCGAGAAAGCCAGATCCCACAAGTCTCCTTTCCTGTGAGAAAGCTGGATGGAATTCTGCATTGGCTGTTCATCCAACTGTTTTCTTCCTACCAGTGCTTAGAATGGTGGCTGGCATACAGTAGGCACTTAATAAATGTTTAATGATTGGTCAGTTGATTAATTTTGCCCTAAATACAAGTCATGCACACAAGCAATCATAGGAACATAGGGTAATAAGATTCAGAGCTAGAGGAGACCTTAGGGTAATCTAGCCTAGCCCTTCATTTGGTAGGTGAGGAAACTGAGGCCCAGAGAAATTAAGCAACTTGCTTAAGGCAATAAGAGGAACAGCTAAGATCTTCTTTCCAAAGCCATGTTCTTTCTACTATACCGTGTTGCCTCCTTCAATTTCTATTCCAAATTTCTTGGAAATCTGATTTTTTTAATCCACCTACTAGCATACATTTTGTGGACAAGTTCAAAGAATCACACATTCAATCATTTCAGTGAAATAGCCTACATTCATGGGAAGTTAGCTGGGCTCACAAGCTAGTGGATCTTCCATTTAAAATTTCATAGTCTAATGGAAGTCAGAGGCCACACTGGGAAAAGAGAAATGCTCCCTGTGATTAACAGTGTAAAACAGGACCACGGATTGAGAACTGGAAGGACACCCAGTCCAACCCTTGTTTTTCAGATGAGGAAACAGGTCCAGGGAGGATAAGTGACTTGGCCAAGGTACCACAGATTGTGACAGAGGCAGGGTTTGAACTCAGGTCCTTTGATTCCAAAGCCAGCACTCTTTCAACTGTAGATTCCAGAGAAATGGCTAATCAGATTTGTTTGGCATGCCCAATCCCCGGCTTTGCAGAAAGCACCAAAGGGGTCTTCTTTACGCTTCTCAATGTGCCATGATCCAGCTCCATTGGCCCACTTGCTTTTCCTCTCCTAGGATGCTCTATCTCCCATCTCCATGATATTACACAGGGTGTTCCCCCATTCTGAGAATGCTTTCCCTTCTCAAATCTACCTCTTAGCTTCCCTGAGCTCCTTCAACACTCAGCTCAAATCTCATTTGCTGCAGGAGGCAGAAATGTTTGTCCCCTAAACTGCTAGTGCCTCCTCTCTGAGATTATCTTTCCTCTTTTTTGCATGTATCTTGTATGAACCCAGTTATTTACCAGTTGTGAGCCTCATTAGAATGTTTGTTCCTTAAGAGCCAGGATGGTATTTTGCCTTTCTTTGTATCTCTAGCGCTCAGCACAATATCTGGCATACAGTAAAATTATTAGCAAATAATTATTGACTAACCTCACATGACTTTGATTAACAAGACTGTTTGATCATATCAGCAGCTTCGAGAACACATTCCTCCCTTGACTGTTTCTCCCTCTCCACCTTCACTCCCTTGGTCTCCTGTCTGACTGTCTATCTGCAACTCTGGGTTTGACTTTATCATCTATCTCACCCTTGAGTGGAGGGGAGAAAAAGACAGCAGCAGTCTCCAGAGTGCCCAAATAACTGTGAGCAGGGAAATCACCCCAAAGCACAGAAATGAGAGGGGGAAAATACCATCTGTTTGGATCTGGCTTTTAAAAGCAGAAAATGAGTTGGGAAAAGCACTAGGCCTACCATCAGAAGTCTTGTATTGAGGTCTTGGCCCTCTACAACTATAAACACATTGCCCCAATTTCCTCATGTGTAAAATGGGCTAATACTAGCCCTACCTACTACACAAGGTTGTTTTGAGGAAAATGTTTTATAATATTAAAGCTCTATATGATTTCAAAATGAAGAAGTTGAAGGATTTGATGATTTCTGATCTCAGAAGAGGTTAAATCTAACCTCCTCATTTTATAGATGAGGAAACTGAGGCCAGAGAGGTTAAGTAACTTGCCCAGGGTCACACAGCTAGTAAGTGTTTAGGACATGGTTCAACTCCAGGTGTTCTTGACTCTAAGTCCATCACTCTATCCATTATAGTGTATTTGTCTATCAAATGGCCCTATGGTCCCTATTTATGGTGACCTGATCCCTGGAAGTGCTGATCTGAATATAGGCTCCACATGGCACCCAAAACAGGTGGAACACAGTTCCACGGACTTTTGTCAAGGATTCAAGATTTAAAGATTTAAATCTTACCTGATCTTTCCCAAAAAGCCTATGATGATGCCCAGGGCCAGCCCATGTGCCAGTGCAGGCTGCAGCCGACCAACCCCCTCTGTATTCTCGATGACTGACAGACAGCCAATGAAGATGAACAGAGCCGAGCCCAGCAGCTCCACTATGCATGGCTGGAGGTACTTTTCATACCAGTGAAGCTGGTGCAAGTCACACCCACTCTCCAGGTCTTTTTCCTTCATTTCCATGTCCTCTGACTTTGACTCACACATAGGGACAGCTGGTAGGAAGAAAATACAGAAGTCAGTGGTTCTCAACATCTTTGGGCTCCTCCACCACCTTGCCTAAAAAAAATCCCCAGTCTCAAAATATTAAGATATGCACTTTTCCCCAGCCACCACCAGATCTTCCTTAAAAACAGCAGTCTCAGAATCATAAGGCATGCAGGTGAGCACCCACTCTGACACTTATTATCTATGTGGTCCAGGGGAAGACATTTCATTTCTTTGAGGTTCACACTCCTCAGCTATAAATAAACAATAATAATTCCATTACCTGGATCACAGGGATGTTGTGGGGAAAAGATTTTGTAATTTTTAAAAGGTTAGAAAAAATAAGAACTATCGTTATTATTAACAACAGTAATTTTATTTTTTTAAAAAATCCACTAGAGTTCCTCCTATTGGTTCTAATTTTTCCTTACAACATCACTAATCTGAAAATATGTTTAATAAGAATGTAAATATATATAGCCTACATCAGATTGTGCGCTGTCTTGGGGAAGGTGGTGGGGAGGAAGGGGGAGAAAAATTTTAAACTCAAAAGCATATGGAAGTGATTGTAAATAAATCAAAATAAATTAATAAAAAAATTTTTTTTTAATCCACTAGAAATGGAACCCTGGACTTCCATACTCCAGGGTTCAACCCTTATAGAGAAACTCTCCCATGGGATCAAGAGGACTTCCCATAGGCTGCCAACAGACTCATTTGGTTTCCAATTCAAAGAAAAATTTAAGAAGATTGTCAGAATTAAAAAGACGATAACATTGATGAACTTACGTTTTCCTGTAGGCCCCCTTGTCTCAGAAAGCTGAAAGTGAATAGCCTAACGGCTTCTGTAGACTGAGGAAGTTCAATACAAGCCCGTGCTGGAGGTATCTCCTAGGAATCGATGTCTCAGCGGCTCTGCTTGCCTCCCCCTAAAGCCTGAGATTTTAAGAGGCTGGAGGATTTACCCTGGTGCTGAGACAGTCATAAAATAAAGGAGGGGGCTCTTCCAGGAGAGAGAAGGGGAAACTCCCCTTATCTCAACAAGGCTAGAGTTCAAGGATCACTAAGCTCTCTGCCAACAGAAGAAAATACAACTTCTGCTGTGTGATGTGCCCAGAGTCCTCTGTGAGATTGTACATGATCACGGGAGCCTGTAGAGGGGGGAACAGAGGCACTCAGAAAAGCCAAGAAAATCGAAGCCATTCACCTGTTTCTAAAAAGGGTAGCCCTAAGACTGTCACGTGTCTTTAAAAAGAAGAGGCAATGGGATGTAACAGAAAGAATGTTGGCTCCAGAGGAAGGAGACCAGAGCTCAAATCCCACTTCAGATATCTGTTAGTTGTGTAGAGGCCATCACTTATCACTCACAGCCTCAGTTTCCTCATCCTTGTAATAGCAATCATAATACCTCTGCTAATTGTTTTATGGGATTATTGGGAGGAAAGCATTTCATGAACCTTAAAGTGCTATAGAAATATGACTATTACTATTTTATATTCATTTTAATTTATTATTGTTGTTACTTATTGATAATTTACAGTTAAATGGTACTTTACAAGTGTGAAATGCTTTACGCACCTCATCTTATTTGATTCTATTGACAGACAGCCTTATAAGCTCATCTCCATTTGAAAGTTAAAGAAACCAAGCCTGAGGGAGGTTCAGTGCCTTCCCCAAAGTATGACTGCTGTTATCAAGCTCCAAAGAAATAATCCTCCCAATGTCTCATTGTTAAGGAATTATGAAACATTAGAGCTGGAAAGGACCTTAGAACACAGAAGGTTAGTGCTAGAAGGGATCTTAGAACAAAGTACACAGAATATTTAAGCTAGACTCTAGAACATGGATTGTTAAAGCTGGAAAGGACCTTAGAACACAGAAGATTAGCACTAGAAGGGATTTTAGAACAAAGTACACAGATTATTTAAGCTGGACCCTAGAACATGGACTGTTAGAGCTGGAAGGGACCTTAGAACACAGAATTTAAGAGCTAGAATAAATATTACAACAGAGAAAGAGACACTGGACATTACCTACTATCTCAGTGTCTGAGATGTAGTTTTTGCTTTTTTCTTATTCTTCCTTTTTATTATCTTCCCTGACTTCTGAAAACTGAAGGTCTATTTTTCCCTGAGTTAGAACCAAATTTCACGAGTTAGTTTGTTTCCTGAATGTATATGAATGCTTCCAACAACAGGCCAATTCCTGGGCCAAAGCTTCTCTCATTCCCCCGTGCAAAAAGAAAAAAAAAAGCTTTGTATTCTGTAACATTGGAAAGTCTAATTCCAATATTAAGCCAATAAGGTATTGCCCATTTTGTAAACTGGCCTATGAGCTCCCAGGGATGTCTGGCTGTTACAGCTAATATACACTTCAATAGGTCTCTCCTGTTTCAATGGTTCTATAAAAAAAATTAGGCAAGGTATTTGTGAGGCATAAATACTTGCTATATGTAACTTTTAGCACCTTTAAAGGTCTAAGGTTAGGTGGGAAACAAAAATATTTATAATAAGCTGGGTTTGTCCATGTTATCATATTTAAGAGTCAGGACACCTGGGACTAGAGTCCTTGCATAGTCATATGACCTTCGGTGAGACAGTCACCCTCTTTTGCCCACAGTTTTCTCATTTGCAAAAGTTAAAGTTTTGAACTAGATGACCTCTTTTCTTTTAATAATATCTTATCTTTCCCAATTACATGTAAAAACAAACTTTAACATTCTTTTTTAAAAAGAATTTGAGTTCCAAATTCTCTCTCTCCCTCCCTTCCCCTCCCCATGACTGCATATGCAATCATGCAAAACATATTTCCATATTAATCATTTTGTGAAAGGAAACATAGACCAAAAAAAAAAAAGCTACAAAAAAAAATAAAGTGAAAAATAGCATGCTTAGATCTGCATTCAAATTCCACCAATTCTTTCTCTGGAGCCAGGTAGCATTTTTCATCATGAGTCCTTTGGAATTGTCTTGGATCACTGTATTGCTGAGAATAGCTAAGTCATGCACAGTTTTTCATCTTACAACATTGCTGTTACTAGAGTCAATGTTCTTCTTGTTCTGCTCACTTCACTTTGTATCAGTTCGTGTAAATCTTTCCAGTTCCTTCAAGCTTGGATATTCTATTTTCTAAAGGCTTTTCCAGTTCATTAGTTCTATGACTTTCTCCATTCAATTTAGAATTTTGGTTTATTCACTGAAAAGGAACAAGAAAAAGGACAAAATAAACTAACCAGAATCATACAGGCCAGAATCAGCTTGGGCCACTTCTAGTATTGCAGGCCCCTCAATAGCTTTTCTCTTTTTTTCTTCCTTTTTAGGCAATTGAGGTTAAGTGACTTGCCCAGGGTCACACAGCTAGTAGGTATCAAGTGTTTGGTCTCAGGCTGGATTTGAACTCAGGTCCTCCTGACTTCAGGGCCAGTACTCTATCCACTGTTCCACCTAGCTGCCCCTCCCAATAGCTTTTGAAGTTAAAGAAGGTACATGAAAATAAAATATTCCTTCTCTCCCCTTCAAGAAAAAGGGAGCTGTAACTTGGGGACATATATATATATTTATATGTATACATATATAAATATATATATATGTGTGTGTGTGTGTGTGTATATAAGTATGTGTGTATGTCTATATATGTATGTATGTATGTATGTCTATGTCTGTATAGATAGAGATACATATCTTTTAAAAATCCTTTTTTGTACTTTTTCAGTCCCAATGCACTAATGATGGAGGGGAAAATCTGCCTTTCCTATAGTGTCACAGATGACATTAATCTTGGCAAGGCTTTTCCACAGCTCTTATCCTATACCTAAATGGTGATAGCTCTTTACCTACTAAAGTTCACACACCCCACCCTTGAGCTTGGATGCCAAGCCAAATGGTCCTCCTCTCTGCCCTGTCCCCCACATAAGCCCTAAACTTGAGGCCTTCATAACATTTTTTCATCCTATCACTTGTCATTCACTAGTATTCTGAATCAAAAAGTTCTCCAAATATCCCTCCTCTAGACTAGTACCAGTTGAGACTTTGCAAATGTTCATGATCCTATTTTTTCCCACAGCAGCCCAACAAAATAGGTGTTATTATTTGCATGGCAAAGATGAGTAAATGAAAGCCTAGAGAAGATAAGTAATTGAAACAGGGCACCAAAGCTAGGAAGTGACTAAGATAGGATATGAACTCATGCCTTCTTGACTTCAAGTCCAGGAGTCTATCAACTTTAGTATTCTGCCCCTCAAAGAGGAATAAGGGTGGTGGCTGCTACTTACTTCTCTCCCAAAGCAATAATACTCACTCTCATTACTACCAGAGTTAGGGCACACACCCTTATTGACCCTGGCTATAATACTAGGTAAACAGAGTCCTTTGATGCCACCTGAGAGACAACAATGATTACCAAGTAGCTTAAGGCAGAAATACTCCTCCAGCAGAAAAGTTAACTTGTTAGGAGTGAATCATTTACTGAAGACAGAAAATGGGCAATCTAAGATCTCTTTAATTCAGGGGGTCTTAACTTTGAGTCCACTTGGGGTCCAGCTCTTATGGATGGATTTCAGGAGGTCCATGAATTTGTATAGGAAAAAAATGACATCTTTACTTTCACTAACCTCTAACTGAAATTTAGCATTTCATTAAATAATTTAAAAACATTATTCTGAGAAGGAATACATAAACTTCACCAGACTGCCAAAGAAATTTATCACACACACACACACACACACACACACACACACACACACACATGCACACACTAAAAACCCTAATTTTAGTGTAAAAAAAAAATAGCTCAATATTCCTCATAATATTCTGAAGGCCCCTGTCCCTGCAGGTAGACTCATAGCTTCCATTTAAGCCTTCCTCTGAATGGAACATGAATATAATTGAATACTACTGTGCTGTAAGAAATGAAAAATATCATGGCTGTAAAGAGAAGCATGGAAAGATTTACATGATCTAATGCAGAGTGAATTAAACAATATATATACAGTGCCTACAAATGTAAACAGAAAGAACAATGGTGAAACAATCAAAAGTGAGTGGTGCAAAATTACAAAGAATAAGCAAGACTCCAAAGAAGAAATATGAGAAGACACCCCCACCCCCTGCTTTGCAGAGATGGGACAGCTATGTGTGTGATACATTGCACATATTTTTACACTTTTTTCAATATGTGGACCAGTTTTACTGATTTTTTTCCTCTTCTCCTTTTAAAAGATTTAACATTGGAAGTACCAGTTGAATCAATTGATATCAAAAAATGACAACTGAACTTTGAAAAAAATTTTGTACTACTATCACTATTTTCTTTGTCTTATGGATTAAAAGAAATGCACTTTCAATTGACTCAACTTGGTCCTTCCATGTATTCTTAGACTCCAGTCCTTCTGGCTCTTGGGGGTGGGTTTCACGGCAGGGAGAGGGACATTGGAAGAAATTTTGATAATACAAAAGCCCCAAAACAAAAAATATCAATAATTTTTTTATAAATAAAGTCTTCTTCTGATCACTCATCATGGAATAGAGGTGGCACTGTGTTGTCAAAGACTATACCAATGGAGCACAGACTCTGGCAGGTCCTACACCAAGCTGGAAAGACCCAAAGTATGGGTCCAGCATTGGTCCAAGCAATCACTCAACAAGGATTTATTAGGCACCTACTACTAAGTACTGTGCTAGGGACTGAGGACACAAAAACAAAAATAAATCAGTCCCTACTCTGAAGGAACTAAGACTGCCATCAGACAACAAGCTTAGCTAACTGTAGAGATAAGTCAGCATCCTAAAGGTTGTTCACTGGATGATGAAACTTTTTGGTCACAATAAGTCACAAAGATAATCTGCTACGGTGTGGAAAGGTTGAGATGTGCATTACTGGAGGGAGTACCCACACTGGTAAAATCATAGTTGTTTTTTTTTTTTAAGTACAGAAATATAAACACACAGAATGTTAGAGCTGGAAGAGCCATTTCAGATGATTTAGGCTAACATTCCTATTCTAAAGAGAAGGAAAGAGAGATGGTGCTGCATGGCACTGTTATAAACATAATAAGAACTCAGAGAAAGGAGAAATTAGTGTGGTCAACAGCATTATTGTCTCTGGAGGTTCCTGAGACCCTTTCAGAGGGTCTGCAAGG